CTCCGATCCCCAGGGAGGATGAGGTCCTCCATGGAGGATCTCCAGAGTCTGTCATTTCATCCAGGGCAGGGCCTAGGCCCTCCCCCAAGAGTCCAGGATGAGAGTGCATCTCTCATTGTGGGGTGAGCTGCCAAAGTCCATTTGTACGCCAGGGATAAATACTACCCAAGGCCCCATAGATTGATTATATAGGCTTCCTCACTGACACCCACATTCAGGGAGTCTGGATCAGTCCCATGCTGTCCACCCATCATACATGATTGGAACAATATTTGCACCAGGAGACAAGAGGGAGTCCAGGATACGGGTCGCCATGTTTCCAAGACCACGCCTGGTGGGGAGAGGTTCCTGGGACACAAGCATGGAGTACTTTGCCAACAGCCTTCTTCTAGGCCCTTGGCGGCCAGCCTCTCACACCCACACGTCCCTAGGCCCAAGTACCACCTAGAACAAGTGCATATTCCTCATCTGGAAGAAATCTGACTCATTAAGCTTAGGACTCAGCATTTTGAACACATTTGCCAAAGTGCTTCCTGATGTCATCAGACCACTGCAGGTTCCTGCTATGGCCGTCTCTTGTCATGTCTCTAGATGGGCTTCTCTATTCGTCCAAGCTCGTGGAGGGCTGCATAAACGCCCCTTTCTGCTCCTTACACCTCCGTGGACGCACCAAAGGGAATAAACAAAGATTTAGCTGAGCTGAGAGCCTCCAGGTACCTGGCACTTTGCTGAGTCTCCGGATTCGTAGAACACAGTGCATGTGACTATATAGCTTCATGCATGAAATACGGGGGAGAGGGTGTTCAGCTGGAGGGAAAGGTGTTCAAAATAAGAGACCCCAGGGCTGAGGGCATGTGTATCAGAGGGAGTAGTGTGCAGAGAACCGCAGACAGGCAGCCAGACATCGTGATGTAGAAGACTGAGGACAGGGAGTGATGGGGTAGTTGGGGATACTAACATTCCTGTGCTCAGCCTCTTACAAGTATCAGTGACCTTGGGATGGTGCAAACATCAGTGACCTTGTCATTGACCTTGGGATGGTGGTACAAGCATTAGTGACCTTGTTGCCAGTGACCTTGGGATGATGGTGCAGACATCAGTGACCTTGTTGTCAGTGACCTTGGAATGATGGTGCAGACATTAGTGACCTTAGGACAGTGGCTTTGGTAAACCTCACAGCTGCCAGACCAACTGTTGTGACTGAGATCAATGACAAGTCACAGATGCTCGTCCATGGGAAGTTCTGACATAAAGAGAAGACTGAGGTCCCTTGTGTTAGGAGGGCCATTGATGAGGTGGTTAAGGTACTAAGGTTGGGAGGAGTCTAATTGGTGTTTGATGGTGGATGCCTTCTGTATATATGTTTCTGTTATTGATTGATGAATAAAAACACTGTCTGGTCAATGGGGCAGGAAGACAGGCGGGCCTAAGACGAGGAGAATTCTGGGAAAGGTAGGCAGAGAGAGCCCACCAAAGGCAGTCACCATGTAGTCGTCAAAGGAATAAGAGGTCTCTATTCTCTGATGAGCCAAGACCACATGGAAATAAATAGATTAATAGAAATGGGTTAATTAAGATAGAGCTAGACAATAAGAAGCCCTAGTCATCGGCCAACAGGTTTTATAGTTAATATAGTGTCTCTGTGTGTTCATTTGGGGCTGAAGCGGTAGGACCTGGGTGGGACAAGAAACCTCCAGCAACGGGTGTTGATGGGATTCCTATAGATAAAATTTAGAATTAAAGCCCAGGAGCTGAAGCTCTGAATAGAGGCCATGGTGCACAGGCTTAGATTTTCCTGCCATTCTGTTCCCGATTTTAACCTGTGACCAGCAGTGATCCAGGAGTCTCTCTAGACCCTGGGATTCGAGAGTTGAATTTTGAACCCTTATGCAACGTGTGCAGCACTGACTTCAGTGAGGTTTCATTGGGCTAGTTGTGACTCATTATTCTAGAAATACCTCATGATCTCGCCTCTGTTACTTCATTTACTCATGGTTCCTCCCCATGCTGTGCCTAGAGAGAACCACAGGGCCTGTTTCTCCCCCCTGAATCTGGAGACGTATTTGGAAAGTATTACTGAGGAGGGAAGGGTTTGCCGGTGAGTCCAAGAGGCGTCTTGGAACCAACAGCTGAGAGTGTTGTCCTAAGACATCATAGTCAGTGGTCCGGGCTATTCCCAAGGGTGCGTTTGGAAGATGTGAATGGAAGCCCTGGAAAGCCATCGCTCATTGTCTTCGTACAGTGTCTAATGTGAGGTAATGCAGCAGCTGGCCTCTGACTAACAAGGGAGTTGGAGAAACAAGAGTCTATTAGAGGTCTTCCAGGCCTGGCCATAGTCCAAGGCACTCGAACAAAGTGCCTAAAAAATGTGGAAGGCACTGGGGGCAAGAGCCAGAGATGATCGAAATGGTTTCTGAAAGGATCCTTGTGACCATCTGTAAGGCCTGCGAGTCAGTCACGGTCTCAGGCACATGGGGACAGAACCTCACATGGCACGCAGCATGGGTGGGGAGCATGGCAAGCATTGCTTGCACGGTGGTCTTCACTCTAACCCCCGCCCATTCTCATCTCTTCTGTGTTCTACAGAGAGTCTTGTGAGCTCGTTTTTTCCCCTATGTTTCTCTATAATGTTCTAGCCACATTTTAAATTGTGTCTGGTATTTTTTTTCATTACCCCGAGGTCATTCAGTGCCCCTCTGGTTAACTCTAGTACCAGAGCAGTCGTAGCTGATAGGCTCACCGTCCCCGGCTCCGGCGTGACTCTGGCCATGACACCCATGGGTGAGCTCAGTACTCATGCGCGTGACCCTCCGATGGCTCAGCTATCCTGAGCTCAATCTCCACCCATGCCTCTAGTAACTGCATTCCTGGCCTCAGCTCACACCTACACTTCAGCTCAACAACCCCAAGGTCTTATCTGGACTTTCCATCGGTTGATCTCGCCGTTTCTCTGCCCTTCACCACTTTCCCCATTGGCTGCTTTCCCAGATTTAATACCAGAGGAAACCACTAACTAACTTACTTGTCAGCCTTTGTCCTCTCCTGATCCACACAGTAACACCCCCCCCCCATGCTACATTCAGCTTCTGCCTGACTTCCCCATGTCGGCGGCGGGCGGCGGAGTAGTAGCTGGCTGTTTAAAATCACCCTCTGGTTTCTAACTCGGTCAGAGCCCCCAGAAACTATTACAGTCTTTTCGCTCCTGTCACTAAGACCTTCGGTTCTCTTAGTGCCCGCAAAACCATCCGCTTGTGTGGCGCTTTTCTGGGACCTGATATGGAGCCTCAGGTCTCTTGAGATCTATTCTGTTGACCAAGCTACATCCCACCCATCCCCCTTAGTCCCCACAGTCACCGTAAGACTTCACTGGTCTTATCCTTTAGTCTCCTCTAAGATTTGACACATCGATGAACCCTCCGTAAGCCTCGTCAAGTTACTGCAGATATGAATGAGTATCAGCTTAAAGCCCTGGGCTCCTGCTGTTCTGTTAGGCAAGCATTTGTTTCCATCATTTTGTTAATCTCTCTCTATCTCCCTCCCTCTCTCTCTCTCTCTCTCTCTTTCTCTCCCCCTCCCTTCCTCCCTCCCTCCCCCTCTGTCTGACTCACACACACACAGACACACACACACACACACACACACACACACACACGAGATAGGCAGTTAAGGAGAAAGGACTGGACAGGTTGCAGGTGAGTTTGGGCCTTGGTGCTCAGGCCCTCCTTCCAGGAAAGGAAGGAACTGAGCCCATAGAGCAGGTGCGGTCCTGGTGTACCTTAAGGATTCTGGGGCTGGGAGGTGAAAAGGACGGGCTGAGCTCAGCTTAGCGGTCAGAGTATAAGTCCTCACACTAGCTGAGTCAGACAGAGTCCAGACTTGACTTTGTTGCTTCCTAGGCCGGAAGGAGACTATGAGCAGCTTTCGGACTCTCTGGAGTCATGTCCTCATCTGCAAAGGGGAAAGAGAAACGACGCAGTCCCTAAGGAGACTAGGGAATAAATAGGCCAGCACATGTAAAACATTGCAAACAAGGCCGGACAGCTCAGTATGATCTACAGCTTACTGTGATATTCTCTTTCAATCTCACAATTTTTTTTAAGGTTTTCTTATCCCGTTTTATAGAAGAAAAGACTTAGGGTTAGGCTAGGGAGATGACTCAGCTGGTAAAGAGCTTGTCGTGCAAGCATGAAGACCCAAGTTTATCCCCAAAGGTAGACGTGGTGCCACGCACTTTTAATCCAGTGCTAGGATGGCAGGGACAGGTAGATCTCTGGGCTCACTGGCCAACAAGTCTAGCGCTGGGGTGCAGAGACAGGTAGGTTGCTGGGCTCACTGACCAGCAAGTCCAGCTCTGGGGTGCAGGGACACGTAGATCTCTGGGCTCACTGGCCAACAAGTCTAGAGCTGGGATGGGCGGCAGGGGCAAATAGATTTCTAGGCTCCCTGGCTTACTTGGAGAGAGAGAGAGACCCTGTCTCAAAACATCACAGCACAGACAAACACAAAGGTAGATGGTACTAAGATATGACAGGCAAAGTCTGGCTCCCACACACGCATGCACGCACATGCACAAACGCTCGCACATATTCATACGAGACTGTGGGTCAAAGAACTTACGGAGATGCTCAGAACTATTTGGGCAGAAAATGCCTGAGCTTGGGCTCGTACTGCTGTTTCCCTGAGAATCTGAGTCTCCTCCAGATGAAATTACTCTTATATGGAGACTCACAGCCGCCCTCCCCATTGCAGGCAGACGGCACCAAATGTTTACCATGCTGCAAACTGACCTTAGCCAGAGTCAGACTAGCCACAAAGCTGCAGCCCAAGAAGAGAAGGTAGTTGTGAGATTGTACACTGTCATCCCGCAGGGTAGAAACGTTCTGAAAGTTCTCCTGGCTCAGATTCCCCCCTGGAAGGGCAAGAGACTGTTTCCTCAGTGCCAGGACTCTGAGTCAAGATGACAAGATTGGAAGTGCCGTTGACAGAGTCCAGACCGTTGCTTTATGGCTGGAGGGGATGACATTTTATTATGTGCTCACGAAACCTCATCCAAGTGCGGCTGGATGTCCCGTCATGAGGGGCCAAAGAGGAAGATCACTGTGTGTCTTTCTCCCCGGGCCAAGGAGAAGGGTGTCCTTCCTCAGGACCAGTAGTCAACGCGAGAGGATCCCTCTCGGCCAGCTGCTGTGGAGAAGCGACGGCTTTTACACAGAAAGTGTCTCCGTGTTCTCGGGCCTTTGCAAAGCTCATATTGTCATGTCGGCTGGGTTGAGGATGTTTTAAGGGAACCTTGAAATGGTAGGAAAGGCACCACTGTTATTCCAGCCTGACTAAAGAGTGAGCTGAAAGCCCTCAGAGGGAGGACTGTTTCCATAAGCCTCAGTTTCCCTTCAGTAAGATGGTTCCACTTGGGATTCCTTGGCTTGCGTTTTCTTAGTCTGAAAGCCCGTGAACCACTGAGGGCTCAACCGTGGTGATGCTGCGTATAATGGCAAAGATGTAGGAACCAAAAATTATGTCTCACAAACAGGATCCGCACCTGTTCTAGAAACCCTCTGGTTTTGAGGCTGTCATTGCTTCCTTGCCCTGACTGCCTTGAATCAATCCCTGCCCCCGAAGCCAGCCGCCCTTTCCTCCTGAGAGTCCTCTTAGTTCTACAGATGTTGATGGATTTACACGCTATATTTCCAACCACGGGACTTCCGAGTCCCACCTTGTGGAACTCAGAATGAGGCAGTGAAGTCAGGACTATTCCCAGAGATTCCTTTCCTAGACTGGTCATTCCCAGACCATGATCTCTGGACCAGGAGCATCAAAATCACCATCCAACTTGTTAGAAAGTTTCTCGTATGCCTCTCCAAACTCACTGAGTTGGCAGGACTAGGTCTGCGTGCTCACCAACCTGGGCTTTTAATAAGACATCCTGCAGGGAATTGGGGTGCTTGCTCAAGCCTGAGAACCCCTGAACTAGCCCTCTAGGTACACACTGAACTGGTCTGAGACCTTCAGGGTAGGCTGCTAAGAAGATGATTTCAGCCAGGCGTTGGTGGCGCATGCCTTTAATCCCAGCACTCGGGAGGCAGAGGCAGGCGGATCTCTGTGAGTTCGAGGCCAGCCTGGTCTACAAAGTAAGTTCCAGGACAGCCTCCAAAGCTACAGAGAAACCCTGTCTCGAAAAACCAAAAAAAAAAAAAAAAAAAAAAGAATGATTTCAGCCCAGAGCTACAACTCCCTTGGAACCACAGCTTGGACCACTGTGGATATTTTTTTGTCAAATGTCCCAAGCATTGTGGGAACCACCCGTTTGTTTAGATAGGAACTGATCCAGTTTAGCACACAATTCTGCATGGACCTTCCAGGATTTTCTTCAAACCGTGATGCTTGGTGGGATGTTGATGTCGTGAGTAAGACTCAACAATGAAAATCTCAGTCTGAGCAAAAGCCCTTACTACCAGATGTTTCCAGGAGAAGAGAGCTTTCAGAGATTTAGTCCTCTGTGGAATCTCCTCCCCATGACTCTCTATGGTGAGGTCAAAAGCCAGATTCCCCGATCTCCCCGGCAGGTAGAGACCATGGGACTGTGATCCCAGAAATAAGTTCAGACTTACTTGGAGTGGGAAGGGAGGTGTGGCTTTTGGAGCGGGGTGGGTGGGGTGGGGGTGGGGACTGTCCTGGGCCATCCTGACAGTGTCTGGCTCCAGCCTAATGCTACATCCTGGGCTCGTTCAGGAAGATAAGGAACAAAGGTTGCTCTCATGCAGACTCAGCCTTTGGGTCTCAGAACTTCCTGGGTGTTAGGTCCCCTGCCCTCTTTGGGTGTGTGTGTGTAGATGCCTATGTCTAGTGCCAACTGAACTGCTTATAATCTCTAGCCCACTCTTGCCCAGCCTAGAGCTGTGTGTGAGGGCTGAGGAAGTCAGATGGGCAGGGGAGCACTTACGATGCTTGCACACTCAGTGTGAGGGCTGAGGAGGGAGGGTGGGCAGGGGAGCACCTCCGATGCTTGCACACGCAGCTATTACCTGTTGGCTCCTTGATCACAGCTGCCCTGAGAGGTGGGCATTAGTGTTATTTCTGCGTTTTCTCTTTTTTCTGACTCATGCAAGGCTCACAAACTCTTCAGCACCTCCACTCTCTCATCTCTGCAATGGGTGCAATCCTAGCACTCTCGGCAGCTTGTTCTGAGAGTGAAATTGGGTCGATGATGAAATCACTCCGGAAAAAGAGTCCAGGACATCTTGTGAATGTCAGGTTTCTGTAGCTCTCCTTTCTAGGTCTAAAGGCTGTTTGTGGGACCTCTGTTCGGAGAAGCTCACCTTCTAGGGACCTGGGCTCCCAGTATTTGGCTCAGATGTTATATGGGAATATGTTATATGTGGCTTCCTGCCAGGCTACTGGCATTGGGGGTAACCCTTCTTCTCAGACCGTTGGGACTTGTATGGCTGCAATGAGGGGGTGTGCTTGCCAGCTCTGGGTGACAAGTCACCACCTGGCGAGCTGGCCTGGACAGGATGACTTCACGGGCCTTCCCGCTCCCCGGTTTCACGACTGGCTTCGCCATCTCATTTTTTGGCCTTCTCTCTCAATCTTGCAGCTGTGGTGGTCGGGATTTAGGGCAAGAACTTGGGATCTCTTTTCTAATCCCTTTTGAATCCTGCTTGAGCTGCAAAGTCCAGGAAGGGTAATGGGGAAGGGGGGAGGAAAGGGGAAGGATTACCCGGCCTCAAGGCAGCGTTCTCAGCAGTATATTTTCTTCTGAGCTAAGGAAACAGCTGTAGCTCGTGACTTTGTGAAGAAAGCCTGTGGCTGGGGAGATGGCTCTGTTGGTTGAAAGGCTTGCTGCGGATGCGTGCAAACCTGTTTGGGTTTCCAGCACCCACATAAAAGGCTGGGCATGGCTTCGCATGCCTCCAGCCCTGTGGCAAGGGAGACGGGCGGATCTCTGGCCAGCCAGTCTAGCCAGCTGACGAACAGTCTGTCCAGTTGGTTCAGTGAGAGACCAGCCTCAAAAGTAATGTGGAGAGCAACAGAGAGGGACCGGCCTCTGACCCCCACACTCTCACCCCAAATAGGCAAACCCAAACACATGCACTCTCTCGTAAAATAAAAAATACAGTGATTTGTCTTGACTCAGTGTTTCTGTGGGTCAACGATGCCCTCTTTTGCTGTGAGACACCCAAAGAAGCACAAGGCATTTGTGGTAAAGAGATGTGTGTGTAGGTTGTGTCTCTCTTGTGGCCCCTGACTCTTTGTTCTTTGTTGCTGTTACGTTTTGTTTTATTTTGGTTTTTTGAGACAGGGTTTCTCTGTGTAACAGCTCTGGCTGTCCTAGAACTAACTCTTAAAGACCAGGCTGGTCTCGAACTCACAGAGATCCACCTGCCTCTGCCTCCCGAGTGCTGGGATTAAAGGCGTGCAGAGCTCAGTCACTGCTCCAAGAGCATCGTCCATCTTAATTCCTAGCAAAGGTCTGACCTCCGGACACCGTAGCTGCACCAAGCTTCTATTCCTCTCCTGCTTCACAACAGGGCTTAAATCTAGACACAAATCACATCTTAAACAATAACAGGCTGTCACTCACCTCTCTCAGAAATTCCAACAGTGCATTGGGTCATGTACCGGGAACCTCTGCCAGACTCAAACTCGACTGACCTTCTTTTCCAGGCTGAGGATTTAACGCAGGGTCTCGTGCATGCTAGGCACACGGCCTACCACTCAAGCTATATCCCCAAATTCTGAATCAGTCAATAGCAATCATGCAATTTCTCTACAAGAGATGTTACTTAATATGCTAAGATGCCATGCCATCTCTGACCTGTGTCCAGATTTCTGAGTCTGGATCCAAAGGTCTTTTAGAGTTGGCTTCATTATGTTCCCCACTAATCCCGACCAGCAATGCCCAGTATTCGGATGTGTTGTTACCCGCCACATTCATCCTGGCTAGGGCTTTGTTTGTGAGCCCCTCTCCATGTATCTTTCAAGCCAAACATTCTGTATTCACAAGGCAGCTCGGGTCTCATCTGTCCTCAATCCTTGATACCCTCAGTACATACACACACGTACTCTCTCTCTCTGGTTCTCTTTGGGAGAAAAGGTTGTGTTTATTTTTATTTTATGTGTGTTTTGACTGCATGTAAGCCTGTGTGTGTGTGTGTGTGTGTGTGTGTGTGTGTGTGTGTGTGTGTGTGTGTGTGCATACATTGGCCCTCAGAGGCCAGAAGAGTGTGTCAGGTCTCCTTGGAATTAGAATGACAAACAGTTGTTAGCCACTGTGTGAGTGCTGGGAGTTAAACCCAGCTCTTGTGCAAGAACAGCCAGTATTCCTCACGGCTGAGCCATCTCTCCAGACTCTCGTTAGAAACTCAGTTTAACACGTCTTCATCTTTTGCTGCCCTCCTAGCTCCGTCTTCCAGAACAGATTGCAAGTCGTTTGATATTGGGCCTTTTCAAGCATTTTCCAGTCTTCGCAATGTCCTGTCAAACTTAGGAATCATACTACATATAGTAAAAAAATAAAAATAAATTGACTCTTATAAAGGGTTTGACTGAAACTGCATTGGGTGACTGTAGATTTATCTTGCAAAAAGAAATTCCGTGTGTAGTTAAGGGTCATGATCGTCTAGTGTGCACAGATATACCTGAGAACCTCCCTGGTAAGAATAAAGCTGAATTTTGGAAGTTCTAAAGGTGACCCCGAGCCCCATGATTTTACACAAGGGCCAATCTGCATGGGGTCCTTACCTCTTGTCACTGTTTTCGGTCAGCTTGGCACAAACAAATACATACCTGCGAAAAGAGAAACTCAACTGAGGAATTGTCTCCATCAGATTGGCCTGTGCGGCATGTCTATGGGGACATTTTCTTGAAAGCCGATGAAGTAGGAGGGACCAACCCCCTGTGGGCAGTCCCGGGGATAAGAGAATTAACTGAGGAAACCAGGGGATGCAAGCCAATAGGCAGCATTTCCCCTACAATCTCTGCCTTGGCTTTCCTTGATGCTGAGCTGTAACCTGTAAGCCAAATATCCCCCCACGTTACTTTTGGGCCAGTGTCTTATTACAGCAACAGAAAAGAGAACCTGAACACCTCCCCCTCTGATACTTGTGACCCTCTGCTCTCCCTCCACCCCCAGAGAGCTCCTGTGAGAACAAGCGGGCGGATATGGTGTTCATCATCGACAGCTCCCGAAGCGTCAACACCCACGACTACGCAAAGGTCAAGGAGTTCATCCTGGATATCCTGCAGTTCTTGGACATTGGTCCCGATGTCACCCGGGTAGGCCTGCTCCAGTACGGCAGTACGGTCAAGAACGAGTTCTCCCTGAAGACTTTCAAGAGGAAGTCTGAGGTGGAGAGAGCTGTCAAGAGGATGAGGCATCTGTCCACGGGCACCATGACGGGGCTGGCCATCCAGTACGCCTTCAACATCGCCTTCTCGGAAGGGGAGGGAGCCCGGCCCTTGCAGGAAAATGTCCCGCGGGTCATAATGATTGTGACCGACGGGAGACCTCAGGACTCGGTGGCAGAGGTCGCTGCGAAGGCCCGGGACACGGGCATCCTGATCTTTGCCATCGGCGTGGGTCAGGTGGACCTGAACACGCTAAAGGCCATCGGGAGTGAGCCCCACAAGGACCACGTCTTCCTGGTGGCCAACTTCAGCCAGATTGAGTCTCTGACCTCTGTGTTCCAGAACAAGCTGTGCAGTAAGTCCTGTGCCTCTGCGCCACGTTTTTTTCTTTTTCTTTAAGGCCTCATTCTGTGTTCACGGTCGTGGGCTAAGGGAAATGCACCATTCTTCGGCGGGTACGCTGTGGCCGAAGGGACAGATGTTGAGCACGTAACTACACAAGTACAAAAGTAGCCTCAATTGTGAAGAGTGTAGTGGAGGAAGAATTCAGTGCATGGTGGGATAGAAAAACCCCAGGCCCTAGTCTAGGTCATGGTGTCACAAAGACTTACCTAGAAGAAAGGACATGTGTGCATGTGTGGGCGTGCACGCATGCGTGTATGTGTGTGTATGCACTTGTGTGTGCCTATGTGTGTGGGTGCATGCACATGTGTGTGTACGTGTGTGAGTACGTGCGTGCATGTGTGGGTATGCACACGTGTGTGTATGTGTGGGGGTGTATGCACATATGTGTACTGTGTGCATGTGTATGCATATGTGTGTGGGTGCATGAACATGTATGTGCATGTGTATCTGTGTGTTTGTGTGGGTGCATGCACATGTGTGTGCATGTGTGTGGAGGGTACATGCACATGTGTGTGCATGAACATGTGTGTGCATATGTGTGTGGGGTGTGTGTGTTTGTGCATGAACATGTGTGTGTGTCTGTGTGTTTGTGTGGGTACATGCACATGTGTTGAAGTTGGAGGACTATTTACAGGAGTTGACTCTCTCTCTCTCTACCTTGTGGGTCCCGGGATTTTAAACTCAGATCGTCAGGCTTGGTGACAGGTTCCTTTACTTGACAACCCCAAAGGACATTTAAACACAAAAGGCAGAAAGAGCAAGGCTAGGGTGAAGGATTCTCCCGCACGTTTAGCTGACTCGTGGGCATTCCCGAAATTGGAACGTGTGAGCTGTAGCAGGGATAGGAACAGAAGGCAGAAATCGTAAGAGCTTCCCCGTGGATTGTGCGGTAGACCAAGGAATCTTTGCTGCGCGATGGTGTGAGCGGCAGGTGCTTTATTAGCCAACGGGGAGACAAATGCATTGGAAGAACTGAGAAATTCAAGCTTTGGAATAGGACGAACAGCAAAGCCTTGTGATACAGTGCTTAGAAAAAAGGAAGCAAAACATACTTAAAAACAATGTTAAAACTGTTTCGACATGAAGTCTCAGTAACCCAGACTGGTTTCAAACTCTCTGTGTAGTGGAGATTGGCCTTGAATTTTTTTTTTCTTCTTGCTTATACCTCCCACACACCAGGATTACTGGTATGTGCCAGCAGGATGCCTGGTTTATGTGGGGCCTGGGGATGAAGCCCAGAGCATTGTACACGCTGGACAGGCACTCTCCTGACTGAGCTACATCCCCAGCCCCAGGGTGTATGTTTGATGTGTCTTTAGAAAAAAAAAAGTTCCCCTTGCAAGAACTAACTTCAAAAAGCAAAGACTCCATTTTCTCTTGACTCCAGAGTCAAATGATTTACTTAAGAAATCAATGCTATGAAGGAAAAATAACCTTCTCCTGAGCAATGTCAGTTGGAAACCATTCAGAAGTACCATTTCCCTGGCGCCACAGAGAGTCCGCATTGTTGTGGTGCACTGTGGCCTGCATTGACTGGAAAACTTTAATCAGGAGAACACGCTGCAAACGTTGCAAAGGTTTATGACTTTCAGTGACTTCAGCAGGATTTATGTTCCCCCTTTCCTGGTAATATAAGAAAGAAAGAAAAAAAGAAATTGGTTCTGTAAAGCTTTTGGCAGCTCCTTCTTGTGGACTGGATGGTTTTAATGGGCCAGTGCTTTTACAAGCGCTCTGCCTTCGTCAGCAAATGGAGAGATGGTAGGATAAGACAGAGGAGCCGCTCGGCAGCACCGACGACCCCCGAGCGGCCGAATGTGGACCTGGGCTGGGAGAACCTTTCTCTGTGGGCTTTAAGGCCATTCAGCAAAATTAAAAGGCAGTTTGGACGCGCCCCCTCCCCCCATCATCTTTGTCTAATCTGAAACCCTGAAGAAAACACTGGGTTATCTTGTTCCTTTGCATGGCCTGAGAAATGAGCCCCCTGGGACTCCTCGCATCCGCTTTGTTGAAATACAGCAGCTGAGCTCCGGGCCCTGTACTCCCAGGCTCTGCCGAGAGCGGCTCCATCAGCTATCTTGAAAGGTTGAGGAGACCCCAGAGCCTCTTTATCAACCCTGCTACAGACCACAGTAACGAACGTTCCTTAAGCGCACTTCTCCCTCGTGCCTTCTCATTTGATGCTCATGAAAACCAGGGAGGCAGGAGGGACCGCACCCGCCCTCCCTTCTTAACAGGTTAGCAAGCAGTTAGCTGGCTCAAAGTCCCTGCTCCTTTCGCCCCTTCACAGCCCAGGAATTGTAAATTCCTCTCTTAGGGCGAACCACTTTCTGAGGACAGCTCCCCCCCCCGGCAGGGAAAGAGGCTCAGCTGTCGGTATTCGCCTGATGAGGGTAAAATTGGGAAGGGACACCTGTGTAGGGCCAGGGCAGGAATGGCCGTGTGATGCCAGGTTAGCCCTTTGGGTTCCTTCTGCCTCAGTTACCTCATCTGCAAGACGGGGATTTCACAGGCAGTCGGATGTGGGGCCCCAGTCAACAAGCATGCACTGTTACAATCCCATACACTCTGGATCCACACGTGAGGTGACAGGCTTTCACTGCTGTTCTCAGTCAGACAACGGCTGTGAGCATCTTCAGAACTGCAGACGACATCTCCAGGTCCTGGAAGTCTCCTTTGCTCCTGTAGCATTGAAGGACACCATGATGACCGTAGCTGCTCACGCCCTGTTCCCTACGCTGTTCCGTTTAAACTCTGCCATCAGACAAGTATTCTTGTTATGCCCACTCGCAAAAGGGGAAACCAAGACTGAGAAAAAAAAACAAAAAAAACAGGCGATTCAAATAGCTCCCGAGATTCAGCGCCCAAGTGTTCGCTATCAGTGCAGGAACCCCAGGATGGGTGGGAAAATGCTCTCATATCTACAGTCCCCTGTAGAGCAATGGGGTGGAGAACACGCAGGTTCTTCATACCTAGGAGAGCCATCTGGACCAATGAGCTCATTCCAAAGAGCGCCCGGGTCTCCAGGAAAGCCTTTGAAATGAAGCAATAAGATGAATTGCTAACATTCATCGTTATCAATACTGCTAGAAACGGCGACACGCCCCTGTAGTCCATGCACTCAAGGCTGAGGGAGCAAGGGAACGGCTCAGAGGGTAGACACCTTGACATGGAAGCCCGATACCGTGGGTTCCATCCCCACAACTCCCACCCACAACAGCTGGAGGCAGCGGTGAGATGAGGGGCGGAGACTGGAGAATGGGCAGAAAGTCCCAGGGCCAGCAAGTCGACATAGCAGCACAGCAGGGATAAGCCCGAAGGTGAGAGCCCACGAGTAAAATGTGTCCCTCCACCTGTGTGTGTGTGTTATGTGTGCATGCTGTGTGTGTGTGTGTGTGTGTGTGAGAGAGAGAGAGGGTGAGGGAGACAAAAGAGTGATTGAACAGAGATACACAGAGAGAGAGAGAGAGAGACAGTGACTGAGACAGAGAGAGAGAGAGAGAGAGAAAGAGAGAGAATGAGTGAGCACTCACACGCAGGGAAAATAAAAAGGTAGATAGATAATGTTTTTAAAGGCACTGAAATAGGAGGATCTAGAGTTTGATGTTAGCCCGAGGCTGCATAGCAAGCCCCAGGCCAACCTGAGCTACACACAGCTTCCTCTCAAAGGCGTGTGCCTGAGTGTGGCTATTTGCTTAAAAAAAAAAAAAGCTCTTAGCATATGCAAACTCATTTTATTCGCACACCAAATGCGAGAAGTTAAGTGCTCTTATGGAATCAAAGACAGCTGCCTTGCCCAGAGTCACTCAGCTCTAGGTGGAGCAGTGAAGGGGAACCCGGTTTTATTAAAAAAAAAAAAAATACAAAAGCCAGCCCTGGTTCTTTAGCTGAATTCCCACTAAGGGGCCACGACTCGCAGTCGAAAAGTGGAAATGAACGGCCAGGCTTGGGGAATGGCCGCCACTGTGTGTGCACTGTGAAGGGACTGCTAAGGGTACCCTCTGGCAGGCAGGACTAGACAGAGAGGGGGTCCGAAGGCAGAGGCAGGCTGTGCCCAGGTGTACCCCGGGGTGGGAGCTAACTGTCACACAGTGACATCGCGTAGGCCCTCCTTGAGCCAGACTGTCCCAAGTAAGAACACTGGCCAGCTGTATGGCTATGAACCCGGGCACAGCAGCAGCATTATACCTGTGGGCAGTGACTTCCCACAGTGGCCACAGCGTGGGGGAACTGTGAGATCCTATTCCCAGGCCACCCTGGAGCCCGCCAAAAAGACTGAGAGACGAGAGTCCTGTGAATCAAGGTCCTTTGTACAAGCTGGCCAGACCCCACACGTCCTGGCGTCCGTTTGTGTTGCCCAGGAGCAGAAAACACTGACCAGCTCTCAAGGCTGAAACCCTCAAGTCTGCCTTCTGCAGTTGGGTGACTCGGTGCAACCTGGGCATGGCTTTTAAGGGGATCTCTTGGTTGTTGCTGGAGATTCTTTGTCCCGCCAGGTCCTATCATCCTTCTCAGACCCAAATAAACACATGGATACTATATTAATTATAAAACTGTTGGTCAATGGCTAGGACTCCTTTTTGGCTAGCTCTGTCTTAATTCCTATTAATCTATATATTTCCATGTGCTCTTCGCTTACCGGATAATGCCCAGACCTGTAACTCCTTCGGCGGCTACATGGCGACCATTCTGGCCGACTCCTTCTGCATTCCTTTCCCAAAATTCTCCTCATCTCCTAGTCTGGTAGCCCCGCCTATCTTCCTACCTCTATTGGCCAAATAGTGTTTTATTCATCTACCAATAAGACACATATATACAGAAGGACATCCCCCATTGTAAAGAGAAGCCTTCCTGCCAGCCTGGTTCCAGAGCCGCATCAGTCCCAAATAAACACACAGGAGGCTATATTAATTATGAAGCTGTTGACCGTTTGATTGATTTCTTACTGGCTATGTCTGACTTAAGTATTTACTCCATAATTGTTAATCTAAGTATTTCTCTTACCGGAGAAAAGGGTCTGGACTTCTTACCCCTATGGCAGCTACATGATGACTCCCTGTGTTTCTCCTTCCCAGAATCCTGCTCAACTCCTAGTCCCACCTATCTTACTTCCCTATTGGCCAACAGTGCTTTATTCAACAACCAATAAGAGACAGATTTATAGAAGGGCATCCCCCATCACTTGGTGTCTGTTTTATCAGCCTAGCTGGCGTTTTTGGAACCCAGGGCAAGGCTGTTCCTACCCTAACAACCCCTTCCCACTCAGGCACAACCTAAGGCGCTAATAGTGTTCTGAAGGCAGGTCTGCCCAAAGGCTACACTGCTTTCATCCTGTTGTGAAGGGGGACACAGGCCTGCGTAGTTGCTGACTTACATGCTGGGTAATTGTTCCTGTTGAGACCCCCCCCCCAGTCAGCTATACTGAGCAGAACACTCCCCTAATCATTCACACAGTTAAAAAAATACTTTTCTGAACAAGCTGGGTATGTTGTGTGGTGGTTCAAATCTATCGCCCCAGCACTCAGGTGCCTGAGGCAGAATAGTGACTTCTGGGTCTGTCTGAACTACGTAAACTCTTCTTTTTTTTTTTTTTTTTTTCTTTTTCTTCCTATTTTTCTTTTTTTTTTTTTTTTTTTTTTTTTTTTTCGAGACAGGGTTTCTCTGTGGCTGTGGAGGCTGTCCTGGAACTAGCTCTTGTAGACCAGGCTGGCTTCGAACTCACAGAGATCCGCCTGCCTCTGCCTCCCAAGCACTGGGATTAAAGGCATGTGCAACTCTTTTGATAAGCTGAAATAAACAATCCCTGCCTCAAAATTTTAGCTGTTCATATTTCCTTTCTTTTTTTCCCTTTTCTCTTCTGTTTCTTTGTCTTCTGTCTTTCAGACAGGACCTCACTATAGTAAGTCACATGTCTGCCTGCCTCTGCCTTCCGAATGCTGGGGTTAAAGGCGTGACGCACTATGCCTGACTGGGTTCATATTTTATTATATATATTTTTCCCATGGTCTAGGGATGTGACTCAGGTGATAGAGTAATTTCTTGGTCGTGGGTTACAGCTGCACTATTGCATAAAAACCAGGCCTGGTGGTAGACCCAGGCCTGGCGGTAGACCCTGCAACCCCAGCTCTCCGTAGACAGAGGAGGAAGGATCAGGACGTTCAGTTCAGCTTTGACTATAATTCAGTTTTATACACCACAAAGCAAATAAATAAACACATAAATTTATAAATCTAAGCCAGGTGGTGGTGGTTCACGCCTTCAATCCCAGCACTTGGTAGGTAGAGGCAGGAAGACCTCTGGTCTGTAGAGCAAGTTCCAGGAGAGCCAGGACTGCTACACAGAGAAATCCTGCCTTGAAAAGTCAAAGTAAATAAATAAAAATAAAATAAGAACCCAGTTCTGATACTGATTTAGACTAATGACTTATTCTTTCCTTGGAATAAAAAAAAAACTTGGTCAGGCTTAAACCTGGTACTTTATGAGGAATGACGCTAACTGGCTCATACAGCTCTGAGGCTCAGGGGAGGAGGCAGGGTACCACTTCCCTTTCAACAGCCCAGCACAGGCCTGTCTTAGAGATGAGGATGCACAAGGCCCAGATGCCACTCATCACCCGGCCGTAGGATTCCACAGATGTACAATTTTTACTCTGTCCGGTAAAAATGTTTGGGATTCTTTTGGTTGAGAGTGACGGAAATTCAGCTTGAGTTGGGTCTAGTGGCTAATTTAAGTAAGGAGCCAACCCTGGAGAACAGTTGGGTCTAGTGGCTAATTTAAGTAAGGAGCCAACCCTGGAGAACAGTTGGGTCTAGTGGCTAATTTAAGTAAGGAGCCAACCCTGGAGAACAGTTGCATGCCTTCTAGGGGACATGTTTGAGCGTCCTCAGCACAGCATTGTAAAAAGTGAAAGATTAGAAACTGCCCCCATGTTGACCAACAGGTAAATGTCTTAAGTAAAGTGAGAAATGACCATTGGGCCAATGGATAAAGCAAGCAGAGTTCAGCTACAGCCAGATGATTTGATTGCAATCAAAAAGGTTAAGCTGGAGCTCACACGTAAGATCCGATCTAGGAGAGAGTTGGTTTTCATTGTTCAAGGTGATTTTGCTCTGTGAAGTTACTGTGAACACTGAATTTATGGATATGGAATTATTTCTCTTACACAAAGTACAGTCAGGATCCATTTCAGTCTGCGTCTCCTGGTCAATTGACATTTTTGTCAGCTGGTCAATATATAATCTATTTGGAGACAACAAATTTAATATTATAGTTGACTCACTAACCTTGAGCACATGGCCCACAATGACCCTAACGCATTCTTATTACAGGATATGTGATTGCACTCTGAAGCCTGAGATTGTGTTATTTACATGAAAAACCTGTTTCTAGTTGTGGTGTGGCCCAGCCCTAGCACACACCTTTAGTCCAAGAGTTTTCTGCTTGGATATTGTAAACGGGATTAAATAAAGTCAGCCATACATCAAGAGAAGCAAGCAACCAGTTGACAGGAAGTGAACATAGGATTATTAAGGAAAAAAACCATAGAGAGTAAGGGGGAGTCGGGAGTACGGATAGAGAGACACACAGGAAGTAGAAGGGAGGGACAAACTGAGTTTGAAGAGACTTGTTTTGAGACAGTAGGAGAGAGGAGAAGGTCAGCTGGGTGCTTCCTCTGCCCCTCTGAGCTAGTAGGCTTTCACCCAGCATCTGTCTTCCTGAGTCTTCATCGGTAAAATCGAACTATTGAGATTTTACTAAAAACAACACGTTCTAGATTGAAGCTTATTTTAATATACCCATTTCCCCAAAAGGACGTATCATAGCTTTTTAGTACTCAGTTGGTCATTTCATACAGGAAAATTACCTACAAAACCCACAAAAAATGCAAAAAAGTACAGTGCTTCCTGGACTATGAAAACAATTTGCTATGAAGCGATGCTACCTTCTCCAACCCAGCTGGGGATATCCAGATCGGGGGACACCCCGCTGATGCCTCTCAACAACTCAGTGGATGCCTGCGAAAGTGCTGCGTTAAACTGGGGTTACAAGTACACTCCGGTGGCAGCCGAATTCACAGATAGGGAATCTGTGAATAATGGGGATCTGGTGTGTAAGACCTCTCATTTTAATATCTTTGGGGAAAAAAGAGCACATGTTGGAATCTGTGAAATACAGTGCTCGAGTCAATATAGATAGAATTTGTGATTAATGTTGAGTGAAAACCCAAGTCAGTAGATAGATAAACAGGTATACATGATGTTCCCAAATGTGTCAAATTAAACATCGTGACACCGTGAAGGACAGATCTCTTGGCAGTTAGGGGTACTGCCTGCTCTTTTCCAGAGGACCTTGGTTGAATTCCCAGCACTCCAGGGCATTTCCCAACCATCTGTAACACCAGTTCTAGAGGATGGATACCCTCTTCTGGCCTTCTCAGACATCAGGCCCGCATATAGTGCACAGGCATCCATGCAGGCAAAACACTCCTACACACAGAATAAAAGACAGCAACAAAAATCACCCCGATACTTTTACTTTGCTATGAAATGGGTGGTAGGTATTAAGTATTCGCCAGGCATTGAACACTGTGCTGGCCACTTTGTCAAGTTACTTCAGTTAAAGCCGGGCGTTGGTGGCACATGCCTTTAATCCCAGCACTCGGGAGGCAGAGACTGGTGGATCTCTGTGAGTTGGAGGCCAGGCTGGTCTACAAGAGCTAGTTCCAGGACAGCCTCCAAAACAATACAGAGAAACCCTATCTTGAAAAACAAAAAGACAAAAAAAGTTCAGTTAACCCTCACCAGGCCCTTATAAGGTCGGTGCAGTGTTTATCATCATTTAATATAAAGAGATTAAAATGTTCTCAAGGTTACAAAAAGGTCACCCATTTCACCCTGTAGTAAAAATGGTTGGACTCAGCCTACAACTTCCCTTATGAGGTTGGAACAGTTATGAGGTTGGGACAATATGTTCTAAAGTGTGCTGTTGTAAGAGTCTCGTTCCCCTAGCTCATATATCGTTGTCTTAGGGTTTCTATTAGCTGTGATAAAACACCATGATCAAAAGCAGGTTACAACTCTCAGGTCAAGATTCAACGCTGAGGGAAGTCGGGTCAGGAATCTGGGGACAGGAGCTGAAGCAGGGGTCATGGAGGATGCTGTTTCCTGGCTTGGTCCTCAGGGCTGGCTCTCCTTCCTTCCTTCCTTCCTTCCTTCCTTCCTTCCTTCCTTCCTTCCTTCCTTCCTTCCCTTCTTTCTTTCTTGTTGTTTCAAGACAGGGTTTCTCTGTGTAGCCCTGGCTGTCCTGGAACTCACTCTGTAGGCTGTTCTTGAACTCACAGAAATTAGCCTTCCTCTGCCTCCCAAGTGTTGGGATTAAAGATGTGCACCACCACACCTGACCCAGCTTGTTTTCTTATACCACGACCCACAAAGATGGGCTCTCAGATCACCCACCATAAGAAAATACTCCTCAGGCCAGTCTAGTGGGCACATTTTCTCAGCCACGGTTCCCTCTTCCCAAGTGACTCTAGCTCGTGTCCAGGTAACATGGAACTAGCCAGCATGCTTGACCATGGCATTCCTTACTTAGATGTGAAGAGGAGTGGTCATCAGTAGCTGTGAGGAACTACTACCTACCGGATACACAGACAGGGTCGCTCTTGAATGTCCCCTTTATTGTATTAGCTTCAGGAAGCTATTTTCTCATTTGGACATCTTTTGTTTATGAGAACACTTACATAATGCGTTCTGTTAACACCAATGCTTGTTCATTTTAAATGTGCTCAAGTTGTGCTGAACTGATTAAAGTTATAAACCAAGATGTTTAAAAAAAAAAAGTAGAAATCAAGAATTGCATGAGCTCCAGACAGCTTATGTAAGAATCGGTCTGCCTGAAGCTTAGGTGTTTTCAGAAAACAGATGCAGGAATATTCAATGTTGAGGGGTTTCATAATTTCGGCATTATGAAGCATTTAAATGCATTTTTATCCCAAAATTTTTCACACTTAATGTAGATTTAAAAGTACATCGCTCTTAGGATTTGTCATCTTGGGGGACTGTGGATTCTTTGGCATATCCTTATTGAATCAGTAGCTTTTTCCCCCCAGATCCACTACTGCCTACTCAAGATTCCGCATTGCATTCTGGAGTTAGAATCATTTCTGGTGTTTCTGCCTGTCAAATGGTGTCATTAAGATGAACCTGAAATTTCTGGATTTGCAGGTCCAAAATCAAACAGATATCAGCCATTTCATACGGTCCAGCCTGACGCTGGTCCCCTTTCACCTTGCATGATCCTTTTTGTTTGTTTGTTTTGTTTTGTTTTTCGAGACAGGCTTTTTCTGTGTAGCCCTGGCTGTCCAGCAACTCACACTGTAGCCCAGGCCGGCCTTGAACTCACACAGAGATCCAGCCGCCTCTGCCTCCCGGGTGCTGAGATTAAAAGGCGTGCGCCCCCACCGCCGCCACCGCTGGCCATGGTCCTTTATTTTCTCGTTGACGCTGACGTGGTTAATCTGTCTGGTCAACTTAGGGGGCGGCCCTCCCTGCTGACCGGGAAGGGCAGTTAGCTTCTCCTTGGGTTCAGCCCTCTTCCCCAGAGGCTCCCGCTGCGCGTTTGCTGGATAGAAGGAAGAAGCCAAGGGAAGGGTGTCACCGTTGACTTTCTTTGTCGTCCTTTGCAGCGGTCCACGTGTGCAGTGTCTTGGACCACGGCTGCGCCCACTTCTGCATCAACACACCTGGCTCATACACCTGCAGGTGCAGGCAAGGGTACATCCTCAACGCGGACCAGAAGACTTGCAGAAGTAAGGCCGCTTGGCGGGTGTGTCACTGTTGCTTGTACTTTAGCTGGGTGCCTCTTGCTCACCCACGGTTCCTCTCCCAACCTGCTTGCCACCTCCCGAAAACAGCTTTCGTATTTCCTGGTAGCTCCCCCAACCCTGCCATCACAGGGCCTACGCCTGGTGCATAGCAGGCCACGCCGGGCAGTGTGTGTGTGGAATGTTTGATGGGCATGGTGTCTCAACTCTGTGCTGCTTCTTGGTGGGAGCTACCCATGCGTCTTTCCATCCCAGCTCCATTAGCTGGGTCCCACAGAGCTGTTTTTCCGGCTTTATCCTCTTCCCAAAGCATGGACCTAGCTAGAGTGTGATTAACGTCAGCTTGGAGTGGTTATGCACAATCCATTTTAGAGGGGTGCAGGTTCTGGCTGCTTCCGTGATAGACATTTCCTTGTTATAATTTTTAAAGGGACAAACAAATACAAAGAATTTATATTGGAGCCTGGCGTTGGTGGCGCACGCCTTTAATCCCAGCACTCGGGAGATAGAGGCAGACGGATCTCTGTGAGTTCGAGGCCAGCCTGGTCTACAGAGCGAGTTCCAGGACAGCCCCCAAAGCCACAAAGAGAAACCCTATCTCGAAAAACAAAACAAAACAAAAATTATATTGTTCTTTTTGGCCTGGCTCCCAATACTAGACAATATACTGATATTTAAGCCATCAGGAGGTACTCCAGGTCTTCAAGGACACAACTACACAGCAAGTGTATGCCCATTTATTATTATTATTATTATTGTTGTTGTTGTTGTTGTTCTCCTTATGTTATAAGTGTAGTCATTGCTTTGACCACAAAAACTGGACTAGGCGCGCAAGGCCTGAGAAGACCGTCTGCGGGGAGGCAAACAGCTCCTCTCAGTCTGACGCGTAGTTCATGCGATGCGAAATTGTTGTCATACCACATGGCATGCAAGCCAGCACTAATGGAAAGCAGTCTGCACAAATGGCTGTAATTAGCGCTGCATTTGGAGAGCCAAACCGCAGTTTCCACTTTTCAGTTTCAGCACTGAGTGGTTGACGGAAGGACCTCCCGGTTCCCCGATACTAGGTCCTATCTGCCTGGCTCTCTGTTCTGGGCCCCCAGAGGCAAGAGAGCTTTGTGCCCACAAGCTCCTCTGCGACCCCAGAACTCAGCCGGAGTCGTCTCCGTCTTTGGCTGGAACCTTGGACACTCTCTCAGGTTCCAAAGCTAAACTCAGTCAACAGCAAATGCATTTCCTGACGAGCCAGGGGCGCCTGGGGTCATCTAGAATCATTATGCACCTTGCAGCAAACGACTTGAACATCTCTGGGTCACCCTGTCCTCTTCAGGTTCACTCAACCATCTTGACCACTCTCTTCCTACCCTCCCCTCTTTGAGGAGAGCAAAATATTCTGTGTCCCGTGGCCCACTCTTGGCTGGGATCTGGGAAGCTACGAATGCCCATTTTTCCATGGTGTGGCTTAACCATGCCATAGAAGTCTGACACCAATCGTGGTGGTTTGAAAGAAAAATGGCCCCCAAGGGGAGTGGCACTATTAGGAGGTGTGGCCTTGTTGGAGGAAGTGTGTCACTGTGGGGGCGGACTCTGAGGTCTCTTCTGCTCAAGCTTCCCTCAGTGTGACTTCCTGCTATCTGCAAGATGTAGCACTCTCAGCTCCAGCACCACATCTGTCTGCATGCTGTGTTGTTCCCCGTTGTGAGGATAATGGACTCAGTCTCTGAAACTGTTGAGTGAGCCACCCCAATTAAATGCCTTCTTTATGAGGCATTTATGTGGTCCTGGTGTCTCTTCACAGCAATAAAAACCTTAACTAAGACACCAATAAATAAACAAACAAATAAGTAGAAGTAAAGCTGAAGAGTTCTCCTTCGCCTGGGCCCATTGTAGGTCCTGAGGTCCTCGCCTGAGGGAAGTGTCTAGCCTTAGGGAAACAGGAAGTAGCTGAAGCAGAGCTCTGCGTACGGCTGCAGCACCCAAGAGCTTGAAGCAGGTACTACCTGGGTTTTAAACAGAGGGTTGGTGAGGGAGTGTGGACATCCCAGGTAAAGAAGGGACAGAAACTTCAGGGGTGACTCAGAAATCCAACTCCCAGAGTCCTCAGAGACCCTGCAAGTCCATGGTTTCTCTTTGCTCTGGTTATTTGTTTGGCTTTTCGAGACAGGGTTTTTCTGTTTAACTCTGGCTGCCCTGGAACTCTGTAGTCCAGACTGGCCTTGAACTCAGAGATTCACCTGCCTCTGCCTCCCAAGTGGTGGGATTAAAGGCGTGCACCACCACAGCCTGGCTCTCTTTGGTTTTTTTTGTTTTGTTTTTACAAAATGCTTTATCTACTTTATTTTATGTGTATAGGTGTTTTACCTACATAAACATCAGTGCGCCGTATGCATGACAGTGTCTGTGGAGGCCAGAAGAGGGAGTCAGATCCTGGAGAACTGAAGTTACAGATGGCTTGTGAGCTGCCATGTGGGTTCTGAGGACCAAGCTTGGCTCCTCTGCAAGAGCAACAAGTGCTCTTAATGTCCAGCCATCTCTTCAGCCTCCCCTTCCTCCTCCTCTCCCCAAAAGCTTATTGTTGTTTGTAACTGTAGGCACATCTGTGCCATAGAGGCCAGAGGTATTATTTCCCCTATGAGCCGTAGTTGCAGATGGTTGTGAGCCTCCTGACGAGGGTGCTGGGAACTGGACTCGGATCTCCGGTAACACCAGTACGTGTTCGTAACCTCTAAGTGAGCTCCCCAGCTTCCTTTTTTTTTTTAAACCTGGTTTCACTATGTGAGTGAAGCTAGAGTCCTCCATCCTCCTGCCTGGGTAACGGTCTTGCTCCCATCCCCCTGAATACTGGAATCACAGGTTCGCATCGCTGTATCTGGCTTCAGGTCTACAGCTTCAGAGAGCTTCTTGCTCTACCGCTGTTGCCACCAAGGTCCTAAAACCATGGGCAGGGAGGGCCTGGGGAAAGTGGGGGAACTGGAGAGTGAACTCAGTCTTGTCCTCTGCCCGGGCCGTAGTTGCCCTAAGGCTGTTACCGTCCATCCTTTCTGGCACCAGCGGTAAATGCGCCCACTTGGTCTTGTCTGAAGCACATCCTGCTAGCTCAACTGCCTTTCTGAAATGGGACTTGCGAAACGCAGACCTCAGGTTTCAGCTTGGACCCGGACACTGTCATCTTCTGGCTGTGACTGCCTCAACCGCACCTGCTTGTTTAAACTCCCTGACCCTCAGTTTCCTCACTTACTGAGTGGGACCGATGGTCACAGAGTTAGAACTTAACCTCTTAGATAGGCTGGTGTTAGCCTCTGTGCTTGGTCGGTCTCTGGGATGATGGATGCTGTACCAGGTTAAACCTGAGCACCCAGTGACCCCCTGCTTTTATGCTGCCTCCCTGCGGACCCCAGCACAACTTGCCTGAGGTGAAATGAGACACAGCTGGGTTCCGTTTTTGTTATCCTGCTCTGAATGCAGCTGGATAATCTACCAGTTAAAAAGGAATGTGGATTATGCCTTTTTTCTGATGCACCTCATGTTCTCTAAGAAGTGCTTTCCCCTCACTCTTTCCTGTGCTCACTGGCAGGTCCGACTGTCTGTCTGTCTGTTCACAAGTGTTTGGACATAGAAACATACTAGGTTGCATGCAAAACACTAGACATCAGACAATGATGAAACAAGCAATGCTACTCCTGTTTGGAGCTCTCCCACCCCCTTCTCTAAGTTTTTTGAGACAGAGTTTCTCTGTGTAGCTGACTGTCCTGGAACTCACTCTTGTAGATCAGGCTGGTCTCAAACTCACAGAGATCTGCCTGCCTCTGCCTCCTAAGTGCTGGGCTTAAAGGTGTGTGCCATCAAACACCCAGCTCTTGCCTGTGTTTCTATTTAAGGAAACCTTATTGAGTATATATTGTTGGTTCACCAACATTGAAATTACAGCTGATCACACCATTAGCTATGCCTGATGAGGCTTATCTAGCTAGCGCACTCATTTTTTTCTCCCACGGTGCACGTTGTAACCTCCTTGCACTTAGGAACGCTAGACAGTACTACTTTGGAGAACTGTTTCAAACAGCAAAGTCACCAGGAAAATGCACAAAAAAAAAAATGTGGCACTAGATAGACCGAAAACAAGTTGTGTGTTTACAAGATAAGGGCTGAAATGAGAAGGCAAACAGAGCAGAAGTTCCCTCAGCTGGGAGCAAATGTGTTGGGGGACTTGGTGCTTCCTTATCTTACAATGTGTCTATGAATGGCAGAAAATGACAAATTATTGATTGGGAGATATAAGTCAATTTTTAGCAAGTAAGCAAATTCACAAATATGCAATCTGTGAACAAAGTACAATTGATTAAAACTTTGGAAAAAATAAACAGAATTGTAGGTTTTAGGCTATCTGATTTCAAGACTATTTACAAAGCAGAATATAATCGAAATAATATAATGCAATCAAGATTGCAGGCTACTATTTTTTAAGTTTCACCATGCAACAAAATCTTTGTTTTAAGATAATGTAGTCTTGATATAAATATATACATTTTGGCAATTGGAACAGAATTTACAGTACATAAATAACTCTTGATGCCATATGAAACGAAATGACTTTTTTGAGCAGGGCATGAAAGCAATCCAATGAGGAAAGTATATGCTTTTTAAAAGTTACAGCAAAAATTGGATATATACATGCATGTACTTCTATAATATTTTGCCATTAACACATACCATGTAGACAAGCAATTCAAAGTGGATTTCAAGATAAACATTAGAATAAATACCTTTTTTTTTTTGGCTTTTCAAGACAGGGTTTCTCTGTGGCTTTGGAGGCTGTCCTGGAACTAGCTCTTATAGACCAGGCTGGTCTCGAACTCACAGAGATCCGCCTGCCTCTGCCTCCCGAGTGCTGTAGAATAAATACTTTTAAATATCCAGGTGAAGATACAAGAAAATCTTGGTGATCCCCAGTTTAGAAAGAATTTCTTAAGACATCAAAAGAAAAA